CTATATTTCTTCCAATACTAAAGCTGTGTCCCCAGTCAGTCCAGCCTCCAAAAACGTCTGTGTGACTTCAGAGAGTTGTTTTCTCGGAAACATCGTTGAGATAACATAACGAGATGACGAGTAACCAAGCCATTCCGCGAAGACATATAACATCTACGGATAAAAGAGAGAGAATTAAAACAGTTTAACGTAATCCAAAATTCAACCGCAAAACAGAAGTATGTTGAGGTTGGCTAATGCAAACCGAACTCGTCAAACGAAAATTGACCAAGGTCAAACGATAGAAATACACAAATTTGGCCGAATTAACGGGTGACCGTATAAACGAGGGGCTTTTCACAAGAAAATGTATGGTCGTTTAGCCGGGCGGCCAAAAAGACGTAGCCGTAATAACAAGGTGACCATATTACCGAGGTGGTCGTAAGGCGGTGTTCCACTGTAAGCAAGAGCAAAGCAAAGTATGTCAAAAACAGGAGAGTTATTTCCTTGTTTAAATTTTAATGAGAGCGATTAAACGGCTCCAAACGAATTTTTACCGGTACAACCCGTTTCCAAGGAACCCTGCAAATTCTGTTACAGCACTGTTTATACGAGTCCGTACAAATGTTTGCCAAAGTCAGCATTGGAATAAAGTTTAAACCAAAATGCATTGCGCTTTTCGATAAAGCATGTTTTAAAGATTGGCTCTCCATATTTCAGTCTTATTTTTTATCTTCTGTCTAAAGTAACACACGTCTTTTGAATGAAGAAGACTCGGACGCCAAAAATAGGAACTTTGAGAAGCTCTTGGGAGCTCCACAAAGTCTGACGCACGCGGCCATAAATCGATAGGAAAAAAATAGGATCTATAATTAACAGTATGTATCGACAAAACGAGGCTAAAAAGATTCTTATTCTATATCTTCTTGTTTCGGAGACTGGAACCAAGTTCTGGACAAGCGATACTAACAGTCATTTGACTGGCGTCAGACCCGGGGTTTTACAGGCCGTAAAGTAACTTAAGCTAAGTTACAATCATTTTACGTAAGCTGTTTCACAGTGGCATTATAAAATGTAAGGCCGAATGAACAGTTAAAGGAGCAATATCGACCACATGAGAGCTCTTCTGCGCATGAAGGCCAGGGAGGAAGAGCTTACGCGCGGAGTCAGAAGGGTAAGCACTGGGGTCGAGATTGTCCTTTTGGCTCAAGGAAGGTTTGCGTACATGTGTTCAGAATTCAAATGCCAAACTGCGGGGATTCCTGGTGCAAAACTCCTGGACCACCTTGTCTGTATCGATACGCGTGTAACTGTACGCATGTAAAAGCGGGAGCACAGAGCGTGTCTCTACTTGCATAGTAGACGTTGACACAAAGACAGTAGAGAGTTTTAGATCGGAGATTACCGCGAACCTCTAACCGCGGTTTGCGGTTACCCGTTTGCGATTCGAACATACAAACATACTTCGATTTAGATTGGCTGTGGATTAAAGAAGTGGATTCTGTTTTTTTTTTTCCATTTAGAAATAAAAGAAATATCAATCAGTGAAAATAAAAGAAATTTACGGTAACACTATGTGATGTAGCAGCAAAGAACTGTAAATTCTCACATTAGTTCCTCTTTCAAATTTACGGCCGCCATTTTGAATCAGCAGCCATGAATGGCACTTGTTTTCAAGATCCAATAGGATTTATCAGATTTAGCATTTCGCCCGAATTTGTGCCTCTGTTAATGGATAAAGACTTGCTCCACCAGATGTTTGTATCATTACGTGAGATAAAACAAGAATTATACGCTAAAAGATTTCAGGTAAATGACCTACGTGAAAACCTACCTCCCCACGTTGAAAACGCACGTCGTAAACCTCAAACGTGACGCGAAAGACTTGTCACGTGACCTTCAGCGGTTAGAGGTTCGCGGTAAACTCGATCTAAAACTCTCTAGTTACTAAAGCCAAGACGCGGCGAGACTCGGCGTCGCCTGTCTGCCCGTGCAGTCTTGTGACATCTGTCTATACCTTAAATGTAAAACTAGAGTGAAGGAATGCAGCAGGGCTCTGTCTTGACGAGCTGCATGCCATCAATGATACCCTTGGCAAGCACTTGGAAAATGGAAACACAAAAAAAAAGATTGTGACTCTTTTTCAATTTGGCCATTCGAAAAAAAAATCACCCAAAAATCTTTTAACCTACGCTTAACTGGCTTACAGTCAGGTATGCTCCTGACAACCTAGTCTATTCGTGCTCCGCACCCTTTTTTTTAGCAAACCGTTGTTTCTCAATAGTTGGAATCACAAGTACAGTACTTTTTTTCCTGGAAGAAGGATCGACACTAGTGTTAAGAAAGCAAGTAAAAGAAATCATTTTGATGACTAAGATAATTTTTTTTACTTGCTTTCTTAACTCTAGAAGCAGAGCTTTAAAACCCTTAAGCACTCTTCCTCTTGTTTACTCTAGTCATGACAGCCATAATCTCGCCAAATAGGGCAATTTTTGTAAACGTGGCTTTGCAGCAAACTTTCTTTCCGATTACAGCTCGAGATTTCTCTTGCTCTGTTATAGTGGAGCCTTTAATTGCTTGCCGACGGAATTCTCTCTCCAGAATCAAGCTGGAACTTGTCCTGACTTTCTTGTTCACTTCTTGTATTGGAATAAGTAGACTACGCATCAGAATTCCGAGGGAACTGTTTTTTTGGAGAACGCTTCTTAGCAAACAAGGTAATTGTCTTTCTAGGCCTTCACTAGACTTGCTACAAGTCGACCTCTTGGCGAGCGGAGCGAGCCTTTTTTGGCCGTGAAGCGGCCAATTCGCCGCGAAGCGGCCTTATTTTTCTTCTTGCTCCGGAGGCACACAATATAGTCGTCTCCTTTCAGAAAACGGCTGAACTGCAGAATACCCTACCACTTGAACAATTTCCTACGTAGCCGGCTACGTGGTACACAGGAACCAAATACTAATTTTACTAGGTAAAATGATAAATAATTAAAACATAAACGTGCGTGCTACACGTGCAATAGGAAGTGCAAAACCTTTAGTGAGTAACTCCTCTTTCGTGTAGAATTAATCGCCTACTCATTTCTTATCTAATCTCTAGGCAAGCGATAATAAGGCCGCTTTTTAGAACGTTCCTATTAATACCCTAGATCCCTCCGTAGCTCAAAGCCACGTTTTAAAATAACCTTCCATCTTTTTCTGCGTGCCGTCCTACTTATTCGTCCTTTCCGAAATACACCAAAGATGCTGTTGTTTGTGAAAGATATCTTTCTTTCAACTCCTTCATGAAACTCGCGAAATATATCAAACTTTTGCTAAACGTCAAAACAAATTTTTCTTGCCATTTTTTGTAGTGTTCTTACCATATTTAGAGCAACAGAAAGGAACAACATGGCGATAACTGTCACTTTGAATATACTGCTTAAGGCGATTCTTTGTATTTCCATCTTTGACGCCAGACATATCAAGCCATCTGAGAAGGTCTGTCTTTTCTTTGGCAAATCGTTTATGATGTTTTTTTGATTGGTTTGTTAGGTCATGCATAGAACAGCTTGCGCGCAACAATTCGATCGCACGCGCTATTTTACTTTTATTGTACGTATTGTAAGTCTGTTTCCGCCCTTTGATTGGTCAATTTGCTGTCTATAACTTACTGTACAGCAAGATTTCAAAACCATGCTGATTTTGCAGCTCTGAATCTTTCTATCTCGAAAATAAAAATGGTAAAGAAAGTTATCATATGTTTGTAACCAAAGATGACTTGGACTTTACTTTTCGACTTTCCAAATTTGAACTTGCGGTTTTTTGAGAACGAAGCTGATGAAGAGACTGAATCGTAATCTTATCAAAGAGGAGGATTCTAGTCAGTGATCAAAAAATTTTATCGTAGGTCACAGGCCTTTCACAGTTTTCACGGCCACAGCTTCTTTTCCATTTGCAGTGTATTTGTTTGTTTATACTCAAAGAATAACAAAACAAAAACACAAAGTGAGTCACTTTTATCTATTTTTTGTCAAAAAAATGGAATTTAGGACGTAATTTGTATATTTTTAAACATTCTCTTATAAATTCAAAGTCCAACGAACTCCCACAGTTTGGGCCGCCGCTAAAACAAATGAATGGTTAAGAAAAATGGATAACGCAAAGTAATTAACGACGAGAAGCGCAAGTGTAACAGCTGATTAAGTTCCTTCAAGGAAGCCAAAACATCTATGTGCTTGTGTATTGTGCATGTATAGTAAGCATCACCTTGATTTGCGACTCCACTGTAAATCTCCGTCTCTTAACTGCGCCATCAGGGCATCGGAGGGCAACAGTTATCACCTAATGATTCAAAAACAATTTTATTTACTCAATAAATAAATTCATTCCTTCACTAACCCCAACCACGCTTATGGAGCGCAAAGAAAATTTTCGCTAAATAAGATGATTTTTGATACACCCGTTCAACCTGGTCAACCACACCCATCGAGGTCTTCTCCCTCTCTATTCTTTTCAAACAGCAGCATGGGTTCTTTTATTTCCCACAAGTGTCAGCAGTGGAATTACTGCAGAAGAAAGCCTGAAATTATTTCATCCTTACACATGGTAGAATTCTCTTTCAGAGAGCAAATCAATTAAGCTGTTATTTTTTCAGTTCCAAGATCAGATTGATTTACTTCTTGTATAAATGGTGGCACAAAAAATCAAAATATATTCATTTAATTTACTGTTGCAAAAACAAATTGCACATGTCAACCAGGATGTTGCTGATCCTAACTTGTTATATTTACATTATGGCTAATCTGCATTTGACATCGGACTGGTACAGAATATAGAAGTCGAATGGGCATTGAAGTATCTAAACTGAGAGAAAAAAGGTGGCACCATGACTAACAAATTCAATGTGGAGGGACATTGATTTTTAACCTAACCGCTGGGTGTTACACTAAAATTAATGTATATTGCAGATTTATGAATCCCCCTTTAAATGGGTTTATATCAACCAATATTATAGCATTAAATGTTTTGAAAAGAAATGAAAGATAATTTTTTAAAAAAAAACATACCCCTTTCTCCTGCAGATCTGGTTCATCAGGAAGCTTCTTGAAAGTACATGGATGAAATAGAAAAAACAAACAAACAGACAAGTAGATTTCATTACCCCGCCACCATCAAACAAAATGAAGCAAAACTTTAAAAACATTATTTGTAGCTTTACACTAACCTTGCTGCCCTGATGGTAAAGTATTGAAATTTTGGATCAGAAAAAGTAGACCAAACTTGACTTTTAATTTCAATCTGTTTTATTTTTCAAAACCCATTTTAAACTCCACTATTTTTTTCCGTTCTCTCTTCATATGACTTAAGACGTATAAAAGAAGCACTTTTAACAAGATTTACAAACAATTTTAAAGAACTTATTCACCATCATAAACAATCAACACTGTGACTAAGCTGGAATTCTTTACAGTGGATAGGATGAAAAGCACACTGTCTTTAACCTGATAAGTTTGTTTCCTTTGTCGTAAAAACTCTTGTTTGGATTTCCAGGTGGATACATTGTCTTGTGTAGTTTCACTGGTGTTTACTGCATCACTTCCTTCCTCTGAACTATCATTTTCATCATCCAAAAACTCTTGAGAAAAAAAGTCATCTTCACCTTCAACCTGGCCATCATCCTTCAAAAAGACCAAAAGGACACTTTTGGAAAATAACCAAGAGCCATAATGGGACCCATTATGGCTCTTGAAATAACCTAAGGGCTTGTCACTCTAGCTTTAAAAATTGAAATTAAAGAAAAAAAGATATTAATATTAGTTATAAAAACATAATAATAATGTAAAGGTTCTGCATATTAGTGAACTGCACCCTTGGCTTTAAAAAGAGTCTCAGCTTAGGAGAGGTGATGTCAGTGGGCTTTATTAAACTAAGGGTACTTTCCAAAGTCAGAACTGGCTTGGCGAATTAAGGCCAGACCAGCCATTGTGACAATGAAATAGGCTTTTTCCAAGAGTTTTTTACAAAAACCCAGCTCCTTTGCAACTACTACATGTATGTAGGATTTGATTGATCTGGTTGGGTAGTTTCAATTAAAAGTGTGATCCTCATTGCGATGGGAATGACCTCGCCAGTCAGTTCTGACAAATGAAAAGAGTCCCAAGTGTTCAAGTTGGCAGGTATATATGCAGTTAGTTAAGGGGGAGAATTGAACAGCTTCTTGGAGCAATTTAGTTCTTTTTGGTTCAACTTTCCTTTTTTTTTTCAGCAAAAGTTAAGTACGTTTCATGTTCGTAGTAGCCAAGGGAAATCACCAGCCCCAGTTCCCTGCCCTGACTGACAGCCCTGGTATGTTGTTGGAACCATAAACTCCTCTGGCTTGCAATAGTAAAAACTTAAGACAATTAAATTCTTTATAAGATACGGTCATTATTTTTCTTGACAGCTGTTGACATCTTATGATGACATCACTAGTTTTGAGAAAGATGGCTCAGACAGGTACCTGTTATTGTATCAAAACTGTCAAAATCGGTACAGAAAAAAAGATTTGACTTTGTCTAAAGAATGTTGGAGCATTAGTGTTCAGTTAAGTGTCCTCTTCTGGGAGTACCTAATTGGGAAAGACATCTGTTTGAATTGATTAAGAATTGACTGTATTAACTTAGTCATCCTGTAAACAACAAATACAAGTGTGAAAAATATCTTTCTCGGCCCGGTTCCTCGAAAGATGGTTAAGTTTAACCCAGAATTAAGCTAAATTTCAAAAACGGTTTTCTACTCTAAGAACATGCAACTCGAGGCTACAAAATACTAGTGTTGAGCCTTTACTACGAGATACAGTAATGATAACAGAAAATGTTACCCTAAGCAATGCATAGGAATGTAAAGTACAAAATGGAACACAATTTTAATCCTGGATTAACGCTAATCGACCTTTCAGGAACCGGGCCCTGGCTTTCTCTTTTTCTATCCTTATTAAATAATTACCTCCTGGAAGGAGTGAAAAGTTTATTATTAAAGCTAGAGATGGAAAATTTTTGTATCAATATCTTTCAGGTAACTCAATCAACCACATTTCAATGTTTAATATTTACCCTTAATCTAAAACCTTTTCCTTTCCAGTTGCTGTTAAACTTGTAAAATTCAGCTTCTTTTTTTGCTCTTAATGCTTCCTCTCTGGGCGCTAAAACATTTTCTTTATAAATGTCAACCTATCAGGTTTCAGAAAATTTAACATTAGTTTGTGTGTTTTTAACCAAAGGTGTAAACTTCAAAATGCAATCTTAATTGAAAACGATTAAAAATGAGTGAGTGCATGGGCTGGTACATTAACATTGTAAAAATAGAACATACTGCTAATATTTTTCATCATCAAAAATATACTAAAAGTATACAGCTAGTACCTTATTATCTTGCAGAAATTGTTTCATTTGCAAAATTCTTTTCCTCTTCTCATTCAATTCAGCATCGGAGTACCTTGCTAAAAAAAATCAAGAATAACACAGTAACTCTCCTTAAACTAAATGTATTTTAACAAAAGATAAGTATCTCCTATTAATCCCACTGTAGTGTTGTCGCTGGCATGATAATTATAACCAAACTCTTTATCAACTTATAAGAGTTCTAAAAACACTTAAGAGTAAAAATCAATGGTAAAAATAATGTTTTGACTACCACTACAGTGTAGGTCGCTGTATATGTGTTACAGGTCAAATTTGATTTTAGGTTAAATTCTTTAACCCAGTTAATAGTGAAGTTTAAGAGGAATCTGTAAGAACATTATCGAGATATTTGGGATGAAGTTTTCATGGTTAGAAAAACGGTAAAAAATGGACAACCTTGATGTTTGGCCATTAACTGTAGAAAACGAAGCGCTTTTGACATGTAGTTTCAATATTTTTAAAAATGTGTGTCAATCATGGAGATAGCTCCAGCTGATTGCTACAAAGAGGCATTTGATTAGTATGTATCAAGGCACTTAATTGATTATATTATGTATCAAGGCACTCTTGATACATACCCCCCATAACCCCCCAACGGGGGAGCCAGGCCCCCCTTATTTTTAGACCAAACAGAGGTCTGAAAATAAATTTTTTTGAGAAAACCCCCACCCCACCCTCCCCCTCCCTAAACTGAAGGTCTGGATCTGCTACTGTCTTGTTAATGGTTTTGTAAACATTTCAGTCTACCTTACAAATTAGCAAATAATTTTTAAACCACTTGAAAGATTTTTTTTGAAAAATTGAAATTCCCGAGATTAAGTGTTGCTTTAGGAGACCTTTGAGTCTCAAGATTATTTTCATATTGTAAGGCAGTAAAGTAAGGGCTACATTCCACTCAAACTTCACGAACATTGAGGTGGCTATTGGAGGAAAAAGCTTCCCAGGGTTCTCAATAGAAGGCGGCACCCGGCGATTGATCGCCGCTTACTTTGGGATTTATAGCCGCTTACTTTGTGTTTAAGTCGCTTTTCTTTGCTTTGTTTTGACACCTCTGGCTTTGCTGAAGAGCCTCCTACTTTATCAGTGATCACCTCCTACTTAAAAATCTATTGAGAACCCTGGCTTCCACGAACGATTTTGGAAGAACAGTCGCCAGTGCTGTAAGCAAAATAGGTAATGGTGTCATTCCATTGCTATGACAACTCCAATGTCTTTGCAACCCTGATCACGACAAATTTTCATTTTTATCTAATACAACTGTGGTGGCAATTTTTTCAAACATTTGTTTATGGCGACGTAGTTTATGCTCAAACTTGGGAGGCATTGACCCTGAAAAACTGTATCAAGCCACCTTAAGAACGTTAATAGACCACTTGACATATTACTCATTCCTCCAGAGGATAACGGACTAATAACTGACTACTAATCTGTAGGTCGCACTGACTTCTAAAATTAACTGTAGGTTCTTAACCAATGAGATGACAGATGATGAGTACAATGTAAGCTTATCATAATTAAAATAATCATACAAAACACGTTATCAATAAGTAGGGTGACGAATGGTCTTTGTGAGCATTCATGAGCATGTAAGCAGTGCGATTTTTTTGCGAGCACGAGCGAGAGTAGAGAGTATACAACTCATGAGCAGCAAGCACTTCTTATATTTTCCGCTTGCAGCAATCCATATGGAAATCCTTTTCTTTAAAATAAAACAGAAAATATTTTAAAAAGATGATGTGATACTCATCGCTAAGTTCAAAGAGATCAGTGGACCCTTTCTTTTAGGAAAGCTTACACAAAACCTTAAGAGAACTTCGTCTAAAGTAAAAACACACCTGTACGCAAGCGATTCCGAAGATTGTCTAATATTCAATAATACGAGTTCACCCCCCAGGTAGAGAAACATCTTGTGACTGGAACCGTTTGGGAAGTGCAGTTCACAGATGAAGATTTTAATATCGATTTAAAACAAGAGCTCTACGAAGAATGTCTCAAGCGTACAAGTGGGGTTGAAGAAAGGGACATGACTGATCTGGATGAAGAAGAACTTGAGGAGGAACAAGATCCTCGTGTCAGAACAATTAACCTCTTCCCGAAGAATCCTAAAGCTTCCAAACTTTATTGAAAACAAGGCCTAATTATTTAAAAGCCCAGTGAGTAGAGCGGTAGAGAAACTCAGAAGAACTCAAGGTAACAATATCTTCTCTTTTTAACCATATCTGGCTAGATTAGCTAATTTATTATTTATCGCTGTCATTTATCGCGTGCATTTCCACAGAACTTGATAGCCATATTTATAAGAATTAAGCACCATACAGAATTACATTAAAAGAAGGATCCACAAAATCTCGAGCAATACTGACAAGAAAACGAGCATGCGAGCAACTGCCAAAATTTTGGGAGCACGAGCAAGCGAGCACTCGTTTAAATTTTGCGAGCAAATCTAGCAAAGGTAAAATTTTGCGAGCAGTTAAAAATTTTAATGGACCATTCATCACCCCTAATAAGCTTTAAAAATTTGTATTAGTGTAATGTGTAACTGATTTTTTGGCATAATTTTACAGAAAATCACAGCATTATTGTTTCACTCTTCTTTGCTACCTACTGGAGGGTTTAAGTATATAATCATATATTTTTCATAAAATATTTAGAAATTATAAGATACCTTTTTTACACGACCCGTCAGCTGATGACGTTTGAAGAACTTTGCCAAGCAGAAGGCTGATGGGTGAACCAAACAAATGCATAATTAACGTCAAAAAACCAAAGCTGATAAAAAGCCATAACAGTGTCATCTTTAGAGTCATAGCATTCATTCCACCCCAAAAAGCAAGCCCCAATACACCACAACCCGCAATTAGAACGATCCATGTTTTGTCGAAGGCCATTTTGTTTTTATCCGCGACTAGAGCTATAAAAGCGTTCAAAAAGGGGGTACTTTACCATGAGGAAGATTGTAATAGAGGGCCAAAAAATGACCCTCCAATACTCGAGCCTGCGTTTTTATTGGTCAATAGGTGACCTTACATGACGTACTTGCTGGGTTGTTTGCTGCTCGCTTGGTCGATCGCTTGTCAGTTGTCAACCGTCGCGTTGTAGGTGCTATTAGGGAACTTAAGATGGAGACGTTTTCGGGGCGACGGCGACCGGACTGGCAGAGAAAGCCTGGAACTAAGGCAGCCGTCGCTTCCCGAGGAAGGACGGCACCTTTAATTACAAGAATACCGAAGAGGAAAATATGGCTTCACATAAAGAATTAAGAGAATAAATATTTGCTATGCAGACAACATGTATCGGATGAAGAGTTTCTCGTTTTGTGGGAAAATTATGAGTCGAAAAATCCCGCTTGTCCTCGGGAGAGTTACGATCCGTTCACGCTAAAAAACATGCGGTATGCAGCTGAGTTCAAGGCAGAATTTCGTGTTGGAAAAAAAATGATCTCCACAGGCTTGCCGAAGCCTTGCAAATTACAGGAACATTAAAATGCTACCAAGGAACCGTATTCTTAGTTTGGTATTGAAATAATTCCCGGCAAATACTTGCATGCAACAACAACAACAACGGCAACAGTTTTATTTCAGTATTCCCACGCCGAGTTAGTACATGGTATTACCTACTATTCTATGTAATTTTCAATGCGTTTCATTTATACGATATTCTAACCAAAAGAGCGAACACACAATTGAAATATCGGAGTTCATATTTTTTGTCTGGATACTTTTATTTGGCTCGTGGGAAAATTTTGTCCATGTCAAGCTCACTTACGGTTGGCTGTTTGCCAAGTTGGATCTTGACCCCTGTGACATGAAAACATAGAAACATTCAAAGATGTAAGTTTAGATAACAGAGCTTGCAAATCGAGCTTGAAATGTGCTTCAAAGAAAACAAGGACAATTTGAGAACGATAATCTGCAAAATGTTGGTTGCTAAACGCAACAAACCTGATTGAAATGAAAGTTAAATACTCACGTTTTCGCCACAACGCCAAACAGACCAGTTCCACGTCGCCGACGGGACCACGACGGCAAGGTGGTGAGCACGAGCATGCGCAATATCCAACAAATGATGATGTCACGTCCGGTTGAAGTTGCCGTCGCCCCGAAAACGTCTCTATCTTAAGAGCGGATGTCAGTTAATATCGACCAGAGGTCTACAAAACTGAAAAATCCAAAATTCTCAAAAAAATTCACAAAGTAGCACTAGGTAAGCTATTAACATAAATGTAATTTTTACTTCGATCCGATAATTATTTTCCACGTACGGGGGGGTTATTGGTTTCGCGGCTCTCGGACCGGGTTTTCCAGGCCCGAGACCATGTGTCACAAAAAAATCGTTTTAAAATTCAAGTCCATTGTAATGTGGACAACAAATAACTTATTCAGAAGAGTTCTTAATTGCACACATTCTAAGTGGTGATTTTCTCAGTTTGAACGAAAGTGTAATATTTTGGAGATTTTTCATTATTTTCAATATTTTGATCGTTTTCGTTCAATGAAAAAATGGCAAATTTCAAAGCCCAAAATCGTCGACTGGTACCTCGATTTCAGTAACGAGTCTTATACCACGTAAAAGAGCGTTATCTCTTCTTTCAAAATCTGTTTTCAAAACTACGGGCAACTTAAAAGAAAATTTTTGAGGCCAAAAAATACAAGTAGTACTTTTCTGAAATTTGAGCTTTCCAGACTCAGCGGGCCGATGCTAAAAACTTGGAAAAATACAGTAAGAAATCAGTTTGAGCAATAGTGGTTTCATGTTATCAGCTTTCATAAACCAAAACGTGTTTATACAGCGATCTGATATAAATTAATGCCGTTTGCTATCAAGAAAAGCAGATTTAAGCTGTCAACTCCTGCCAAGTGCACCAGTCACGTGAAGTTGTCAAAGGGAGGGCAAAGCACTAATATAAAAAGTCTTAAAATTCAAAACGTTTTACGTCCATGAAATCAGATTTTAGCGTACAAAACAATGTTGTGAATGTCTGTTGTTCGTACCTTAGCATGGTGTTTCCATATGTTGGAAATGTCGAGTATCCACACGGGAGAACATACCAAACAACAACGTTTCAAATCCACGCGCCGAAAGATCGTAAACGGCAAAGATTGCGTTACATTTCACAGAACGACCGGTTACCACTGTTGTCACTCCTTTTTTCGCTGTAAGCTACGAGGAGTTTTCATTCCGTCATGAGTGATTCTTGATCAGCGTTTCCTTGAAAGTACGACCCCGGACAGGTGATAACTGAGGACGTTTCGTCAAGACTCCTGTTGTTCAGTTTCAGGCTTTAGCAGGTGCGTAGTCAGGATTTTTCCGGAGCTACGCCCAACTTTTTCTACATCTTCTTCCCCACCTCCCCCCCCCACCCCAAATCTCAACATTTTTTTAAGATGCCTTTATTAAAGGTGGGGTTAACGGTTGTAAGCAAAAGCATTTTTGCTGTTTATGAAATGACACAACCTCTAAAATTCTTTAATTCTGTCGGCTTGTTATGTTCATTGACGTCAACCGTTTATCATTAATTCAGCTATTAAAAATCAAGCTTGTAGTACCTCCGACTTTAGTTTACAAATGACTCTTTTTACCCCTTTTTGTCACATTATTTTTTACCGACAAAAGCACTACACATTGACGTAATTATGCTCTACTTCGTCTACTCCGAAGACACGTCGTGGAGAAAACAACGCGTTCACGCTTTACATCATCAAGCTTGCTATATAAATAAATCATCCAAGATTCGGTTCTCCAATTAATGTCGTCGCTTCTCTGGAAACCGATTTTTTTAGTTATGTTTATTTCATTCTATTTTTTTTCCTCAATGTTTTCGGGCACGCACGTGCACCCGTGCGTGCAAGTAGCTACGCCCCTGTTTAGTCTCCTTAGCCATGAGCGTTCCTCTCTTGCGGTTTCCGCGGGAGTTCAGGATGTGGTCCACCCAGTATTTCACGTCTCTTTTAAATGAGAGGCAGCACTTCTTGTTTACCGTTTCGTTATCAGACAGCGCTTAGGCTCTTAGCCTTTCATTTGATTTTGATCAAATTTTTTCTCATTTAGTTACTCAGTATACGTTCGATCCTGTCCTTGTAAACTTATACTTTTTATACTTTAGGGAGCTTAATTCCTATATTAATTTTTTCTTCGTTTAGTGTCGACCAAAAGACCCAGTTTTTTGGCCTTTTTTAAAAAGCAAGAAAAAAGAAACGACAAGTTTTTTTTTTTTGGACTTAGATTAATTCTTTTAATCTAAAAATTAGCATTATAACATCATTTCGAGGCATAAAACGTTCGGTGGTATATCCTCTTTGCGTTTTACCCTTCTTGGGCCTTTTTTTTATGAAATTGACCATCAAATTTCCCCCCATATTAAATTTGTGTCGATTTGGTCGACCATGTCTTGTTGTTTTCAGTCTCCACGGCAATGATGCTGGTGTTTCAGGCCTCCCGTTCTCAGATTTCTTGTGATTTTTTTTAACCCCACGGACCGACCCACCCAAAACCAGGAAACCTATTCGACGCTAAACGAACGAAAAGGGGATGACCTAAGCCTTATCGTTTCTTTTTGGGCTTCCTCACCGCATTGCTTCTGCGTGTTTCTGTATACTTGTCTTTTGCTTTGTTTTGTTCTTTTTTGTCGGTAAAATAAACTGAAACTGTACAAAGACCCTCAATATTCCTTTTGAGGTTCTCGAACGCGCAAAAAAAATGAAAAACGCGATGATTTATTGACCGCAAGGGCAATGGGGTGGGGGTTAGGGGCTCGTTACTGCGCTCCAGTTCACTCGTACGCTGTCAAACGGTCCCGAAATACAAAATGAAAAATGACTGTGGACAGACTATTCACGTCTAGACAAGATGGGACTTATCGCCTCTCCCTGTTCATGGAGTTGACTCAAGGTGTTGACGTTAATTTCGTGATTCCCTGCATGTTGCCAGGACATGTTTCAAAAGGGCCTTTCCAAAGGTACGGAGTCCGCCGTCACCTTGTCAACCGTGCGAGAAATGATGTACTTCACAAAAACAAAGAGAAGTTATTTTCGATTTGCCCGCCCCCTACCCCGAAAGTCCCCGACAGGACCGCTTCAAAAGTACTCCCCATGTGGTTGCGCGGGGGGATAGTAACAGGTCTACCTAATTGCACCGTGCATCAAAGACAGTTTAGCTCAATCAGAAGCCCCTTTTCCCTGGCTAGTTCAAGGTGTGTGCACCTCCTTTAAGCTGTTGTTTTCGGTTCTTACTGAAATTTTTGATCTTGAGGAAATTCACAACGACAGGAGCAGGTTATGAGCTTTTTTCCTAGCCCTAATCCTACATCACGAGAAATCCCTCAGGTTAGGCAAGAATTCGATAATCCTTCCATAATCATCCATTTTTTCACCGCGTGAATTGGGTATTTTTAGCTTATTTCGAGGAAATACTTTTTGCTTCAAATCCAGGGTGGGCTTTTAAACACATTTTTTAAGCCAAATGGTTTTTTGCAAGAATCTGCTTACCCGAACTTTTCGCATAAAAACGACAAATACCCGAAAAAAAAGCTCATGTTGTTGCTGGTGGTGGCATATTTCCGATAAATTCAGCTCAATGTCTCGTGAAGAAGAGTTCAGATCCGTGCCCCGCGCCTCTCGAGGCAAGCGTTCCGTCGAAATGCGAGCCCAAAAACAGGTGGTAAGCGGTCAATCTGTGAAAAGTAACGCAATCTCCGTCGTTTGAGAGCAGCCGAAGATGGTCTTGCCGATGCTGTCCTTGATGTTTTTATTTCCATTATCTAGGAAACCCATGCTAAGGTATGAAACATACACTCGTAGGCATTGTTCTGTCCGCTAAAGTCTAATTCCTGGACGCAGAAACTTTGTGCTTTTTGAAGTTTATTATTGTGCTTTGCCCTTTGACAACCTTA